CTTACAGATCGTGCAACGGCTGCACCAGCAACGCCTCCGCCTCCGTTGTTCGAGGACCCGGTGTCATCACCACCAGAATGTAGAAGTGTAGTAGTAGCAGCCGTGGCAGTGGCTACACTAGTAGTATCACTAGAGTCCGTCGAAAGTGGAACAGAGTCGGTGGAGCTCTTCAGTGAGGTAGCAGAATAGGGCGGAGTGAGCCTAGCGGTGATGTAATACTCAAAAGACTCGCTTGCCTCTGCACTGGCGGTTGCGAATGCAGACCAAATAGTTGTAGTTGTGGTTTCGGTAGAAGTGACAGTCCTCACAGTGTACGGGGCAAAAGAGGTCCAATAGTAGTACCAATAGGTCCTATAGGAATATTAGAAATCACCAAACACATTTGTAGAGAGAAGACCGGTTGACTGACCAATAGTAGGTGGTATAATAATATGAGTGATATTGGTAGGTTGCCGTTGTAGTAGTCAGAGTCTTCGTCTCCGTCTCGGTTGCAGAAGAGCCACTTGAAGAGTCTCCTGAATCATCACTTCCTATACATCCCGAATTTGGGCAGCACACCCCTCTGCCATTTTGGATCATGCACTTGTAGCCGGCGAGACAGTATCTTCCATCACTGCAGCATTCGCCACTCTTAGGGGAGCAGTTGGAGGCTCCACAGCAGTTATATCCGCTAGGACATGTTCCTCCGACAGTGCAGCAAACCTCGTCGGAGTCGGCGCAATATCCAGTTGTACAACATCTACCGCTTGATGGACAGCAACGTGATGAGTCGTAAACACATTCGCTATATCCCGGGTTGCATTCCCAGGCACGCTTGTCGAGACCAAAAAGATCGCGGGTTGAAAGCATACCAAGACTAGCTTCACGATGGGTTGCGTTATAAGAGAGTCGCTCTTCATTCTTGAGGGCTTCGCCAGTCACAATTCCAGCCAGAAGGAGCACAAGCCCCACCTGCTTCGCCATGAGATTCATCATTGTGAAATCAGGCTTCAGCTTCCGGGATGACCTTTGCAGAAGGAATTATCCCTTTTCTGTGAGGTGAGCTGGGAGGCACATCCCGCTGGAGACCTCCCGAGGTTTAAATAGGTTGGAGGACTCTGCGGCTCTGATAAGTGCGGAGGCGCCATTATCCGGATGAATCGAGTGGGCACGGTGCACCTCGTATTGACGGGAAAATGGGATGGCGGATGAGAGAACGTGTCTGTGGCTGTAAACTTTAGCTGGGCTTGTTGGCGAAATACGAGGCATGATGCTTGGCATCACTCGAGCCGCTGGTGCCCTGTCGGCTGGGCTGGAGCTGCCGCAGCCCTTGGTTGGTCCCTGAGCTATCTCCTTGCATACTTTGTGGCTGCCAAGGTACTAGGCTTCTAATTGCTGCCCGGTCTAACAACCTTGGTGATTCGGAGAAGGACCATGATTCAGGAATCTAGTAGGGCTAGCGTGTCTCGTGATATAATTTGAGAATTTACTAGAGAACTAGCGTGGGCGAATACGAGGTAGTAAATATTGAGGGGCATAACATCACCCAGGCTAGAAGTGCTATGAGTTCATTAGATTCAGCAGATAGAATTTTGACAAAAATAGATTAGATTCAATGCTTAGACAAGGCCTCAGAGAAACTGCTCTTCGCGAAGATTAAATCGCCACATCCCCACAAGGCGCAGTTAAAGATTTATGTGTCTTCACAGCACAATTCGGCTTAATTAGTGGAACCTTCATTCACCGCTATTCCTGCTGAGAGGTAGAAGTATAAGGATGCATTTTGTAGTGGAGTAGGAGCATCCATGCCATGCTGATCTTCCCAGCTCCATTATAGGTCGATGTCTTCCCCACAAATCCGAGGATGAGCCGATTCAGAGCTTATCAGGATCCGCCCACCTCAACCTTGATGACTGACATCGGGCAATTCAATGATGAATATAACCCGCTCCTCATTAGTTTCATGAGTGGCGTGGATTGAAAATAGAATATAGATTACACTTGAGCCCTGAAGCTATGAACTACTCGTAGTAGTATAGCCCGAGAACCTTACTTTCAAATTAATTCTGTCGCCGATTTCTGTTATAAAAAACAACTTGAACTTGAAGTGTGCGAGTATGAGTATACTACTACTAGTTAGTAGTACTATACTCTGCACAACTTTCGCGCTCACATTTGGGGTGTCATTATCAATACAGTTGGAGAATTATATTACATAATCTCGCAATGGTTCAACTTGGTCACGTGACCCACCGAAACCGGCGATGAGATAGATCGATGTAAAAGGATTGTCAATACGGAGTACCGATGGGATGAATTATTCCTGAAATTGTTCATATTCGAAATGATAACGCCAGGTGTGGGTCTAAAATTTCTCTCGAAGGGGTGACCTGATACAAAGTCCAGGCTTTCCGGGGACTCCATCGGATGGAAATTTAAGGTTATCCTCGGTGAGTGGGAGAGTCGGTTGGGAAGGCTTCTCCGTTCTGAACAATCGCAGCGCCGAGAGTCGGAAGCTTTTCTTTTTTTTTCCCACCGCGACGCGACTCAACGGCTCAACAGCTAGTCTTGCTGGTTTTCTCGTTTCTTGTTTTCCATATTTTTCATATTTTTTGGTCTTCCTTCTCTTGTTTGTGTGTCACCAGACGGGAGGATCAGAGGAGGATAAGACCACTCATACACAGTTTTCCATTCCCGGTCAGCTGTCCAGCACCCCTCCTTTATCAGATCTGCAAACGGGTTTCCGCCTTTGCCTTCTACAAGTATTTTTTTTTTCTCCGATCAGCTTTCGCGTTGAAGCGGAGTTGTCCGGGCGCATACCACCGGGGCTGTCATCTCAAGGTAAGTATATGCGATCCATTATTCACTTTTTTTTTCTGTTAGCGTCGCCGGGAATACCTTTAGACCTCGGCAAAGTTCCCGACTTATACATGCCATCGGAAAGCCCACCCGCTAATTAGTCTTGTAGCGGCGCATCATTCTTATTCCCTGTTTCAGTCCTAGACTGGCTTTTTCTTTATGGGAAGCCCACTTGAACTTGGTCTCTGCATCTAAAATGGCGACTACGCCCGCCCCCGAGTACGCCGACAGTGGCATTAGCAGCGCCGACAAGGAACCTGTCTCTGAGAATATTCATGAGCAATCGCAGGTGTCCAGAACAATCGAAGACGATCTCGAGCCAGGCCACTTTGATGTAGCCAATATTGAGCGAATCTACAGGTGAATCACAGCTTCAAAAGTCTGGAAATATTCCTGAACTACTTTTCTAACAATGGGTTACAGAAAATTGGATCGCCGAATCATTTCTGCATTCTGGGTTCTCTATTTTTTCTGTTCAGCTATCCGCTCCAATGTTGGCCTAGCACAGACCATGAATGAGGATTCGGGTCACGATCTCGGAACTGTCTTGAAAATCAACCCCCACGAGATTTCAACCGCACTTGCGCTATTCTATGTTGGCTATGTGATATTTGATGTACCATCCAACCTGGCCATGACCCGCTTGAGCCCGCACGTCTGGATGAGCCGTATTGTGCTCAGTGTTGGTCTAATTGGTACCTGTATGACTGCTATGAAAGCCGAGTGGAGTTTCTAGTAGGTGAAAATTTTCGTTGAATTTGTGATCCCATGCTAATCGACTATACGTAGCCTACTGCGTCTCCTTCTCGGTATCGTTGAAGCTGGCCTCTGGCCTGGCATGACCTACTATCTCACTCTCTTTTATCCGCCCTCGCGTATTGGAAAACGCATCGGCTACTATTTTACTGCTTCGCAAGTATCCGCTGCCGTTGTCGGTTTAGTCTCTGCGGGTTTCCAGAAAATGGACGGCCTCAGGGGCTATGTTGGCTTCCAGTGGATGTTTCTCATTTGGGGTATTGTGACTATTGCCCTCGGATTCGGCCAGCTTTGGTGGTTGCCAGACCGTCCCACTCCGCCCGGAGAACCTCTTCCTAAGCGTCACAAGCTACTAAGCTGGCTGCCGGATACTGCCCCCGCATTGACTGGCGAGGATGCTGTCGTCCACTACCACGATATGAAACGTGTGTACCACAGCGCCAAATGGACATGGACGGATCTCCTGCACGTTTTTATGGATTGGAGACTCTGGCCACTACTGGTCATGTACTTCGGCGTTGTCGGCGTTGGGATTGGTGTCCAGCTGTACGCAAATCTGATCATCCAAGCGATCAACCCGAACCTTAGCGGTGTCGTCATCAGTCTGTTGACAGCCCCGATTTGGATTGTACGTATCCATTACCCCGATATCATCCTGACTGTGATTTAGCTAACTGGTCTGTAGATGGATTTGATCGCCATTGTTATCGTCACGCCTTTCTCAGACCGCTTCCATCGCCACCGTGCCGTTTTCTTTGCTATCCCAGTTTTGATTCAAATCTTGGGCCTGCTTCTCACTAGTTATGCTGGCAGCGAAGAGAACCCCTGGCCTCGTTATGGTGGCCTCCTCATCATCGGCTTCGGCCTCGGCCCCACTGTGCCTATCACCATGACATGGACTGCCGAGATCTTCCAGCCGAGACACGGCGAAGTCGGTGTGGCTGCTGCATCTGCCGTGGTCTCTGGATGGGGTAACTGTGGTAGCATTCTAACCACCTATGCACTCTACTCAGGTTGGACGAGCGACTACGAGGCCCCTGGGCGTCAAAAGTACCGAAAGAGTAACCTAGTGATGGTTGGGATCTTGATCGCCAGTATCCTTGCTGCCGTTCTGATGCAGATCTTGGTTCGGGTCGTTGATGGCCGCCAACGCCAGGCGGAAGACGCGGACGGTGTAGCCGACGGAGCAGCAGCCCGCGAGTTGGAACAGCGTGGTCTCAAGGGCTTAGGATCTGGAGTCAACCGGTGGGTGGAACGCGCGAAGAACGTTCGCAAATAATAGGAATATTTATTAGTAGAAGACTGGATTGGTGGTTGCTCAAATAATCATAATGAAGTTCTATGCCAAAGTAAATCAAAGCACGCGGATATCATCGTCCTACTTCTTTTCCCAGACACACCGGGAATCATAGCGTATAACGGAAAAAGGGGCTTCTGTCTCCCAAAGACTTAGTTTCTTCATCCAAGATTGCCAGTCTTTCCTCCGGCACACATTCAATCAGACTATTTCGCTTCTTGTTTGTCGCAATGAGAAGCCATAATTTGAACGTGGCGACCAAAATGCCCGCCCCAAAAACGGCCACCATTATGTAGTAGGCCGTGTGAAATTTTGGAGACTCTCGGACCAAAAAGATGTTAGACCCGACAACACCTCCGATTAGGTTGCCGCCAGTAAATGTAAGAGCCATTCCGACTGCTCTCTTCCATTGTCCCGATAGATTATTCGCCATCCAGCAAACGACGCTGGGAGTCGTGGGGAAAAGTGCAGTTGCAATGAAGAACATCGCAAGATAGATAACTCCTGGCTTTTCTACCGGGTCAACGGTTATGCAAATAATGAACCCTATGATTCCGATCAGGTAGGGAACCACAACAGCATGATATCGGCGCCCCAGGCGGTCAGAGACCCATGCATTGAGCACACACATTATGCTCGCAAATGCGTATACTGGAATGGTCATAAGTTGCGCCTGAGCTGCAGTGTAGCCAAGGATCTTGATTGTCGTGGGAAGACTGAAGGACAATGCGTATGTTCCATAGATACGATCGTGAATAATATCTAAAATATTTCGGGTTAGCTACTAAGTCGCGAATTCGTTTTTCTAGGCATGGAAAGCTCTTACGCAGCTGAGGTAAACTTTCGTGTCCAAAAAAGCCTGTTTCAAATGATATTTCTGGAATGCAGACTCTTTGTATCCGCTTTCGTGGCCGTCAAATTGTAGCCTTAAAGTGATGAATCGCTTTTCTTCTATAGTCAGCCAGGAAGACGATACTGGATCATCGCATATGAAGGGATGTGAGACTAAGGCGACCACTATTGTGAGAACGCCCTCCAGAATGAAGATCCAACGCCAGCCGCTATAGCCTCTGGTCCCTAATAGATGAAGGGCATATCAGCAACGATCATTTATACTAATTAGTCAAAGAAAATCTTACCGTCCATGAACCCTATGCCAAATGCAAGAAGTCCCGAGAAAGAACCTGCGAGGCTGGCTGCGCAATAGAACAGAGCAATACGAAACTGCAGCTCATAACGGCAATACCACGTAGAGCAAAGATAAGTTACCCCCGGAAATAGACCAGCCTCGGTCACTCCTAAGAAAAAGCGAGTCGCCAATAATCCAGAGTAGTCTTGCACCCAACCCATACACATCATCCTGAGTAAAATGTGGTGGTAAGCCAGAATAATATCGAAGAATACTAAATTTTAACTTACACCAAGCCCCATGAGAGCATGATAATAGGAATCCATATTGAGGGCTTTGTAAACTTTAATGCAAGATTGCTAGGAACCTCGAAGGCGCCGTAAGGGAAGAAAAATATAGTCAATGCCCTATTTTCAAACAAATAATTAATATAAAATAGGTTAATTCAGAGAATAGTTGTATACCAGTTATACTCGCCGGGAGTCAAGTTCAAATCTTCCTCGAGGCCCTGTAGCTTCGCGTTACCAATATTGGCTCGGTCCATGAACGATATGAGATAGAATAGAGACAGTATCGGCAATAAGCGCCAATCAATTTTCCGCAGGAGCTTGTCTCGCCGTTTTGTGTCAAATTTGCTCGAAAGATAGTCATACTCCTCACGGTCATCAAGGAAGACAACAGATCGTGCCTCCTCCGTGTGCTCTGGGGGTTCCTTTTCAAGATCCATGGTTGTCGGTAGTACGGAATCAAAACGCAAGAAGCAGTAGCGATTGCTTACTTTCCCGCAATTGGGGATCGACACTATATACTTCTCCACATCGTAACAAAGAGAGACTACGCGCGGGGTATGGGGTAAGATGCCGAATGGCGGCGTTTTTCTCTTATCTTAGAGCTTGCTACGAGGCAGCCGGACCAAGAAGCTCCGACAATAAGCCGACTCATTCATGGAATGACAAAATCCATTGATGCAATCCACTGTTATTCCAGCATCTCTATATCTGCTATCCGAATTCTCCCACATCTTGGCAGTCACATGTTTGAGAGCGTGGTTGATGTATGGTTTCCAAAAATATAGTTGAATTCAAGTTCCCCCCAAACTAATTTTCATACAGCCAACCTCCCTCCGTCAACAGGGAAGTTAATTCCAGTCACAAAGTTTGCCTCATCACTCGCCAAGTAAACGGCAGCATGAGCAATAGCGTCAACATCTCCCATTCTCTGCAAGGGGACACTCTTGGAGAATCGGGCACGTTCCTCTGGTGTATCCGGTACACCAGAAAACTTTTCTAATAAAGCCGTGGGAGATCGTAGTGGACAGATCGAGTTCACTCGAATATTATACGGGCCCCATTCTGCAGCTAGTCCCTGTGTGATCTATTTTGAACCATATAAGTAAAAATAACTTAGGATAGAACGCCGAGTATTTAGCTCACGGTGTTCACAAAGCCCTTGGTCCCACCATAAAACACTTGTCCAGGTCGAACCTTGAATCCAGCCACCGATGATGTATTGATAAAAACACCCCGGCGTTGCTCTGCCATGTAAGGCATGATCTCGACAACACTATGATAAATGCTCTTAGTATTGACAGCAATGATCTTGTCGAACTCCGCTTCGGTAACTTCGACACTGGACTTTTTGTTGTATGTTGTACCAGCATTATTCACCACGATATCCAGATTGCCAAATTCATCGCGAGCGAACTTTAGACCATCTTTCCATGCTCGACTTGTCGTACAATCAAACTTCAAAAATAAAGCCCGTCCATGCCCTTCGAAATGAGATTGTTGGATATCCTTCTCGACACGCTCTCCTCCATCTTTTGCGATATCTGCGATGACAACATTTGCACCCTCTTTTGTGAAGAATTTAGCTATGCCTTCGCCGATTCCAGACCCAGCCCCTGTTATAAGTGCTGTTTTGCCAGAAAGACGACCAAGTGAAAGTGGGATAGTAGGCCGCATGGTGAGGTGCTGGTGAGCGTGACGAACTTATTTGGCCTGAATTTCTAGCGACGATTACTCCTGCAGCCACGGGGCACAGAGTCAAAACAATCATACCTATTTATTTCGATGCCCAGACATAGCTTCGACCTCTCCTCATGCTTGCCGAGGTGCCAGTGCGGGGATGTTGCTCTTCCGGTGAGATGTGCGAACGATGTCGGAGACACACACTCCGGCGGAAGACCTGAGGTGAATTAGGTATTCCCCTATGTCCCCATCATTATTTTGGGGGGGATTTACAGCCCTAAAATATTTTCCGGCAATGTAAATGTACTTTAGAGCATTCCAAATTCTCTTAGTATCTACCAGAACTTTACCTATTCTCTTCAAAGGCCAACAGTAATACTCTTGATGTTAGTGTAGTCCTCAACCCCAAATTTGGAACCCTCACGCCCAATTCCACTTTCTTTGATTCCTCCAAAGGGCTGCTCGCACGCGCTCACGAGTCCTGTCCGCACACCTACCATACCCGTCTCTAGAGCCTCGGAAACTCTCCATACTCGAGAAATATCTTCAGTATAGAAATATGAGGCCAGCCCGCTTTCTTTCGTGTTGGCCAGCTTGATAACCTCTTCCTCCGTCTCAAATGGGGTTAAATGCATGACAGGACCGAAGGTCTCTTGGGTCCATGAGCGCATTTCTTGCGATGGGCCGCCAGTAAGAATGGTCGGAACATAGAAGTTCGGTCCCAGGTCTTCCTTAATAAAACCCCCCTGATATTATCTTAGCTCCCTTCGACACTGCATCTTCTTGGTGCGACATTGCTTTTTCTACGCCCCGGGGAGAGTATAGGGGGCCAAAATTAACATCCGGGTCCCATACTGACCCGTATTTGAAAAGGCCATCAACTGTTGTCTGGAGTCTTTCTGCGAATTCGTCGATGATGGAATGATGGACAAAAGCGCGGTTAGCGCATACGCATGTTTGTCCAGAAGATCGGAATTTACAAGCGATGAGACCTACCAAGGTGTGTTGCTAATTAGCTAGAGTTGCTTGTGGCTCTGGGGAAATACTAACCATCAACCGCCTTCTGGATGTTGGCATCTTCAAACACAATAAATGGTGCATTCCCACCCAGCTCCATGCTAGTCTTCTTCAAATGCTTCGCACATTCTGTATTAAGGAGTTTTCCCACGGAAGTTGATCCTGTGAAGCTCAAATGTCGCACTGCCGGATTGTGACACATCTCGTCTCCGATATCTACAGATGCTGCAGCGTCACCAGTGACAATATTAAGGGTCCCTTCGGGATAGTCCACTTGCTCAAACAGTTTTGCGATCGCAATGGCACACATCGGGGTTTCCGGTGCAGGCTTGAGAACAACTGCATTTCCAGCTGAAATAGCAGCGCCGACTTTTCGAAGAATCATGGCCACGGGTGAGTTCCACGGTGTCACTGCCGCAACTACGCCTTGGGGCTCACGAGAAGTCATGATGCGATTGCTTCCACGGGCCGCCGGTATAGTCTCCCCATATAGTCTCTCGATCTCACCGTCAAACCACTCAAGGAAACTGATTCCATAGTCGACAGTTGTATAAGACTCGGTAATGGGTTTTCCGAGCTCCAGCGTGCAAATAGCTGCCAAATCATCACGATTTCCCTTTATCAAATTGGTCCATTTGCGGAGTAAATTCTTGCGATTGCGATGGGTGAGTTGCTTATATTGTTTCGAGGCTGTCTGTGCGGCACCGATTGCCGTCTTTACTTCCGCCCGAGAGATATTCGCAATCTTGTATGCTACTTGGTTATCTTCTGGATCTATTCCAGTTGATTAGCAGATCAATTAAAGATCGAATTATTATTGACCCTCACCATAGACAGGAAATGTTGCTCCAGATGCTGCAGGTGTCCAGCGCCCCCCGATAAAGGCCCTACTGTCAAGAAGGGACGGAGTTTTGAACTGAAAGGAAATTTAGTCTAGGAGCACCCTTTGAATGGCAAATCAAGAGCGTACCTTGTATGGTATTCTCTTCAATAGGACGTTGAGTCCGGACATGGAGCTCATCCTGATTGCTGGCACAGTCGCGAAGATCTGGTCTTGATGCTAGATTGTAGAGCCCAAGTGGACAGTATATTGGCTCAAAAGCGGAGAGCTCGTGTGGCCCCAAGCACAACCAATTTATTAGATTGGTCTGAAACTTATTCCCGAAGGGAGTAGCATGGATGTCGTAATGGTTTTTGGAGAGAGACTCTCCGTGAGGGGTTGGTCGGGGGGACCGCCGATGCGCATGGACCGGTTGACCAGGGTACGTAGCTTCTGTCCGTCTCTAGAATTTGCGGGTCTCAGACTGTCTTGAACAGCATAACAAAGTCAAGAATATCAACTCAGCATAAATCGCTTCATTATCACTCGCCTCTCGATCAACACAATCACCTCAAACACCATGACAGATATTATTCCCAAGCAGCCGACCCTCAATTCGAAAATAAGAATCCAAATACTATCCGGGGGATTTTTACACCTCCCCATGAAGTATTTTGTAGCTGGCTCGGATCCAAATGATGTCCGCCGTGTACCATCAATGTCGTGGCTTCTCGAGCATGAATCCACAGGTCAAAAAGTGATCTTTGACTTGGGAATCCGAAAAGACATCGAGAGATATACGCCTGCAGTCTTCGAGAGGTTACATAATGTTATTAAATCTGAAGTCCCAGAAGATGTCTTTGCTAGTTTAACCCAAAAGCACATCGACCCGTCGTCGGATATCCGAGCTATTATCTTCTCACATCTCCACTATGACCACGTCGGAGACCCGAGCAAGTTTGGGCCTAAAACAGAGTTCATCATAGGACCTGGTGCAAAGCAGCTTCTTCATGGTCCGGACAGTTATCCATGCAACGCATTTTCACATTTTGACTCGAGGCTACTTCCCCAAGATCGAACAGTCGAACTACCTCCCGCGACTGATAGGTCATTTTGGGCTCCACTGGGCCCGTTTCCCGATGTCCATGACTTTTTCGGAGATCAGTCAATGTACATCATAGATGCACCTGGTCATTGTCCTGGGCATGTTAATTTGCTTGTGCGTAGTGATGCGAATCAGTGGATGTTGCTGGCTGGAGATACAACGCATGATACTCGAATCTTGGATGGGGTTGGTGTGACTGCTGTCTATCTAGATGAGAAGACGGGCCGGTCGAAATGCGCTCATCACGATAAAGAGCTCGCTGAGATACACTTGCAGAGAGTGCAGGAAATGAGAAAGTTGGAAAATGTGCAGGTGATACTAGCGCATGACAATGCTATCTATAATAGTCTGTACGATCGTTTTGGGTCGGGACTACAGACTCAATATAGCATAGCACATGATATGAGTTTCCTATAGCAGCAAACCAAAAGTTCTCCTATGAAATAATTCCTTCGAGGGATTCTTGTTCTAAGAACCCATACAGAAGGTCACCTGAAAATGACTCGTCCCATTCGTTAGTGAAGAAATATGGGTCCATCAATGAGCCTGTGTCACGGGCTAGGGGAGCTGAGTCGGTACCACGGCCATGATCCTCTTCAGTATTGGCCAACTCTTCTTGCACTGCAATCCTAACGGTACCAGGGGAAAGGTCCAAGCTGACCCCTCTCGCACTCATCAATTTCTTTATGATTGAAACAGTCTTTGCAACAGCCGGATTTGGAACTGCCAGCTCTTCAAGCCAACGGACACTTCGTTCTAGCGTAGAAGAATTCTTGTCGATCATTTCACTGGTATTCACGCCCATATTGCGAACATGTATAGTACACGCCACATAAAGACCGTAACTGATGAGATATGGAGCTCCCCTTAAGGTGTAGAGCTGTCGATATAAAGCGACTATCTGCGTGATCTTTTCTGCTGCTTCGGAACAGCGCTTCCACGATACGGCTAGCGGCGATGCCGAGCGCAGGTGCCCATCGGCGACCAACGGGCGATGCAGGAGTATTCTCAATGCGTGATAGATGACATGTAAACAAAGGACGTTTGGAGCATGGCTTACTGCTGGTCCGCAGTGACTCGTAGCATCTATGCGTAACCCCTCAGGCAGATTTTGTTCCCATTGTTGTAGAAGATTGTCGATGCTGCGCAGACTTGATTGAGCACTCTCCACTGTTGCACCAACAACATAAAACTCATCGATTATTCTCGTCATGATTTTCGAGAGGAGACAAAATCTCTGGAAGCATGAGACGGAGTAGATTGGGAATTTGGACCGGGATACGTTCTTGTCGTTCATCGTCTGATTTGCCAAATCTTGATATGGAGTCCATAGTTCATTTTCTTCCATGATATCCTTCAACTCAAGCGAGACATGGGCATCGCGTAATTTGATAGCGAACGGTCTGCCCAAGTATAAACTCTGAAGCTTGTCACAGATAAAGGCACCCCAGAAGATTCTTCTCCGGACTTCTTCTTCGATCGCGTTATCCTCATCGGATGACTTGCGGTCTATATGGAGACCGAGATCGTATATCATGCGCAACGCGTACCCCGTGAGAAGCCAGCCTTTGGTGGTCACACCACGTGCCACATAAGTTGATCCGAGAAGTAGAAGTCCCACGATACTCGCAAGACTTGGGCGAAGGAGGAGATTTTCTTTGCTCATTAGTTCATCGCAACGGCGAAAGAACTTAGATCCCGCTTCTTGTGCATTGCCAAAGGTGTCTCGCAGCTCGGGCCTTGTGGAGAATTTGCTGGCACAGGCGAAAATGCTATTCAGTAAAAATGAGGACCCAAACTCGCCACCCTCCAATAAGCCGTGTATGATGGCAGGTCGATATGTTAGTAAAAATGTGTGGTGTTGTCGATTCCAGTGAAGCTCGAGAAGATGAGTTGCTAGATCGATGGGTACGCCAGCTAGTTCGCCGAAAGTTGCTAATCGATATTCTGACTGACGAGATAGGGCGGCATTAGCAACCAATGCATTTTTTGTGTTTTCAGTCGCTATTTTCTGAACAATCGCTGGAGCATCTGTTATCATCTGCCATGCTGATGAAGGTCCAAAACTATTGAAATTGCCGGACTCGTCCACGGAGATGTAAGATGATGTGTCAAAGGTCTTTTGGGGAGAAACAAGCTCAACAAACTCCGATTCTTCTGTCTGTTCGTTTATTTCTTCTCTATTTAGAGTAACACTCTCTGCATTGCTTGATGCAAGCGGTATGGTGGCTCCCTGCTGCTGCGTACTTGAGGTTTCATCTTTGCCCGAATGAAGAGCTACCCATAGCTCTTCTGGCGTACTGGCATTCTTCAATCGTTGTATTAAGCATACAAGTCGTTTGTTTTCTGAGCGAAGAGCATTGACTACCGCCTTTGTTGGTCTGTAACAAAATATCAGCAAAGTCTTCATGCAAATTTTGTATCTGCATAATACGCATCAACTCCCTGTTAGTCGCGGGCTAATCAGGCTTACCTTGGTTTTGGTAGGGATATTCGATAAAGACACTCTTTCTGGTGATCAAAACACGTCCTACAAGATGGTCGCTGGCTATCACATCGGACCTTTCTGGAACGACAGAACTCGCAGCTTCGGATAAGCGTTTTCCGCGTCCCCGCTTGAGCCGACATCAGGTGTTATGGGGGCTTAAATTCAGGAGATTCTGCAGGGAAAGATTTGACGATATGGAGTATTATCAGTGATCTTTGCTGCACACCACTCAATCAGTCGTACTTCGATGTCCGAGGAGGCATGGGTGCTACCCGTCTGGCATGGGATGGAGAGGTGGAGCCTGGGGTGTGTTGTACATATGTGGGGTACAGGCTCGGCATCATCTATGATTAACCGAGAAAGAATCGCGGGCCATGACCATCAGAGGCGCGTGGAGCAGATCCGGTTGGGGCGTCGGATATGCTGAAAGGGTGATAGCGTCAAGTTGGATGCAATAGTAAAAAGCACCCCCAATGAATGAACGTAATCGGCTACTGCCAGTTCACGCAGCGCCATGCGGCCACGTTCACCTCCGCCTTCTCCCCTTTTGTCGCGGTGACCATATCGTTTGTATTGACATCTCTTCCAGTATTTCAATGCCTGCCTTGACGTCCTTGTAATCCATCCCGATAATATTGGCAAACGATTCCTTTCTTCTACTTAAATTCGGTCACGTAGCGAATGGGCTGCTTTTCTGATGGAGTTGCGTTTTAATTCGTTTTATATCGGGTTAAAGTTGAAACTTGCGAAGATGGTACGCAATGTATATTAGCTTTACAGAATATAAAAGACGAGAAGTGCGCAGATTGTGTGAGTTCAAACGATGGTTGTGTTTTCCATCCATGTAATGGTTCTATGCTATTGTACGTGTCACATAACCCACGTTGTGGGAAGTCAAAAGAGAAAAAACGAGGAGAATCGGCGAAAGCAACGAGGGAGTTGAAATGAACGCAGAGGCGGACCCTTGGCGCCAGGAGAAGGATGGTATAGGGTTCAGAAGACGGACGGCAAAATATAAGAGACAAAAGGCACCGGAGATAATAATCTAAGGGCTCCCTCGCGCAGTCAGGCCGCTCTCATGATCCGAACTCCCAGTTGATGCCGGAGGGTATCGGAACGCTAAGACATGATGATTTTCTTAAAGGCCACCACACATCGTCTCGACGATGATACCGGTGATCTGGTAGGGATCGGCATTGGATGCGGGACGACGGTCCTCGAAGTATCCCTTTCCATCCTTGGCAACTTGGCGAGGGATACGGATGGAACCACCACGGTCAGCGACACCATATGAGAACTTGTCGATGTTACCGGTCTCGTGACGGCCAGTGAGACGCTCTTCGTTGCCCTCACCGTAGACGGCGATGTGCTCAACGTGGCGGGCCTCGAACTTCTTCATGGCAGCCTCGATGGCCTTCATACCACCCTCAGCACGGGTAGCAGCGGTGGAGACATTGCTGTGCAGACCGGCACCGTTCCATTCTCCCTTGATAGGCTTGGGCTCGAAGGAAATGCGGACACCGAACTCCTCAGCAACGCGGTGAAGGATGTAGCGGGACATCCAGAGGTGGTCACCCACTGATAGCTCGGTTAGTTTAT